TTTTCGTACCCACGATGGCCATTATGAATTCCTAGTTATGCCGTTTGGGCTAACCAATGCACCCTCAACTTTTCAGTCCATCATGAACAACATATTTAGGCCCTTCCTAAGGCGTTTCATACTAGTATTCTTTGATGATATTCTGGTTTACAGCCGTGATTGGCCCACACACTTGCAGCATCTTGAAAGAACTTTGGAGGTATTGCGAGAAAATGGGTTCTATGCCAAATTGTCTAAGTGCACATTCAGTCAGACCAGGGTCCATTATTTGGGCCATATAGTTACAGCAGGACAGCTTATGGCCGATCCAGAGAAGATCTCTTGCATTCAGGCCTGGCCCACCCCCATTACAGTGAAGGCTCTCAGAGGGTTCCTGGGCCTCACAGGCTACTACAGGCATTTTATTCCTGGATACGGGTCGGCCGCAGCACCATTAACCCAGTTGTTGAAGCGGGACTCCTTTATCTGGGGGCCCGAAGCCCAGTAGGCCTTTGAAAACCTGAAGAGGGCCATATCCACACAGCCCATTCTGACGCTACCAGATTTCAATGAGACCTTTGTGTCAGAATGTGATGCCTCGGGTATGGGCTTAGGTGCAGCTTTGATGCAAAAGGGAAGACCCCTGGCCTACTACAGTAAGGCCTTGACAGCCCAGGCCCAAAGTTATTCTACTTATGTCAAGGAACTCATGGCTGTTGTTTTGGCCGTCCAGAAATGGTGGAATTACCTATTGGGCTAGCATTTCATCATTAGAACAGACCAAAAGAGTCTCAAGTTCTTGTTGGAGCAATGGGTCCACACAGAAGATCAGCAAAAATGGATATCCAAGCTTCTTGGGTATGACTACTCTATTGAATACAAACCTGGGCCCACCAACAAGGCAGCAGATGCCCTCTCTAGGGTAATTGAGTTTCATCAATTGACGGGCTCTCAACCCACCCCCCCCCCCTTATTTGAAGCAATCAGGTTGGAGGCTCGTGAGGCACCAGACTTGGCCCAGGTACGGGCCCGCTATTAGCAAGACCCCACCACAGTGCCAGGACACAGCATGATGGGCCCAGATCTCCTATATAAGGGTCGGTACGTGCTACCTTCCTCCTCATCTCACATTCCTGCTCTCTTGCGACTGTTTCATGATTCACCTCAAGGGGGGCACTCGGGTGTTTTACAAACTTATAAATGGCTGTCTTCACACTACTATTGGGCTGGTATGAGAAGAAGGGTCCAACAATATGTGGCTGCCTGTACTATTTGTCAGCAGCAGAAGTATGATTCTCAGGCACCTCCCGGATTGATGCAGCCCCTCAAAATACCCGCCCAGGTATGGGAGGAGATCTCAATGGACTTCATTACGGGGTTGCCCAAGTCCAACCGGTATTCAGTCATAATGGTGATCGTCGATCGCCTGAGCACATATGCACACTTCTCAGCACTTCCGCACCCTTACACTGCTGCCATGGTTGCTGAAGTTTTTATCAGAGATGTTGCCAAGTTACATGGAACTCCCAAGTCAATTGTATCGGATCGGGATCCAACCTTCCTTAGCCAGTTTTGGAGGGAGTATTTCCGACTTCAGGGAACTAAGCTATACCGGTCCACCAGCTATCATCCACAGTCCGACGGCCAAACTGAGGTGGTAAATAGGTGCTTGGAGACATATCTGAGGTGTTTTACAGGTGACAGGCCACGGCAATGGGCCCAATGGTTACCTTGGGCCGAGTACTGGTACAACTCTACATATCAAGGGGCTACAGCCATGACCCCCTTCAAGGCCGTGTATGGAAGGGATTCTCCCGCCATCTTGCCATATGAATTAGGGTCCACTAATGTGGCCGCAGTGGAAACGCAATTGATCAATCGAGATGAGATACTGCAAGAGCTTAAGTTCAACCTGAACCGGGCCCAACAAAGGATGAAGTTCTACTACGATAAGAAGCATCATGAAGTAGAGTATCAGGTCGGGGAATATGTTTACCTGAAGTTGCAACCCTACCATCAAGTCTCAGTCACAAAGAGGGCCTGGCCGAAATCTGAACCCCATTACTTCGGTCCTTACAAGATCCTGGAGAGAATTGGTCCTGTTGCCTATAAGTTGGAGCTTCCCCCCTCCTCCCACATTCACCTAGTCTTCCATGTGTCCCTGCTCAAGAAGTGCACCAGCCCCCAGGCCATCATCAGCCCAACATTGCCCACATTCACTGATGACGGAGGCCTAGTTACTGAACCCAAGAGCATCATGGACTTCAGGTGGGTTAAAAAGGGGAAACGGGTCATCCAGGAGGCTCTAGTTGAGTGGGAGGGACTACCTACAACAGACACCACTCGGGAACCTTACTAGGAGTTGCAAACCAAGGTCAATCTGAAGGAGGGAGGAGGTGATGAGAACCCAGAAGCTGGCCCAAGCCCAGCCTGCTATGCCAATGGACCACGACCACCAATCACGATGGTGTATACACGGAAAAGGAAACCCCGCCCAGCACCAGAGCAGCTCTAGGCCACGTTCGATGGAATCTCAACTAATTCCATTATCATAACCAACTGAGTTGGTTATCCTGCAATGTAATGGTCAGCTACTGCTTATATAAGCTGTGCCTTCTAATAATCGAATAACAAGAATACAGAGTTCTTTCTCAGGAGGACGGTTCCCCTCGATGGAACCCCGAGATAGGCAGTAACCTATCAATGTGAGTGTGAAATTACAAGTGTCATGAGTGTGACTCAGAACCTTGAGGGGTGTGTCTGAATACAACAAAGAAGAAAAAGAGGATTCGGACTTTGTCTTCCTCCAGTTCTTTCACTTGTGCTTCCTTTTTCTCATCCCTTATTCAGTTGAGTGATGGTCAAGGGTTGTCTTTCCTGGTCAAGGAGATATGGAGTAAACCTATTCCACGGTATCCACCTAGGATGGGTGGTTTGTGCTGGGAAGTGTTCCAAGAAAGAATTAATACTTGTGATTTATTGCAAGGAAAAGAACCTAATTGGTGTCTTTCCCCACACTAGTGTTCTCTCACTCTCTGTGCAAGGTCAATGGTGAGAATTACTATCACTTATTAATCCCCTACTCTTTTTTCTTCAATTTGGGAATGGTTTCTCACTCTCTGTTAGCTAGTCAATGAAGAGGGGAAGAATCTTATGGAAGTGCACAAGGGCAGCAGTCTGATGGACAATATGGGAAGGGAGGAATCAGAGAAATTTTCTTGATGAAGAAAGGAGTAGTAATGCTATCATTGAAGCCATCACAATCAGAGTAGCCCATTAAGTGAAAGACATTGGATATTTTTAAGGATATCTCTGTGGATATTTTGATGAGGAATTGGAGGGAGGTAGTATATTCTTATCCTATCAAGGAGGTTATCAGGCTTTCTTGGTCCCCTCCTGGTGGCTTTTTAAGCTCAACTTTGACGGTAGCAGTGAAGGAAACCCAGGTCTATCTGGCATTGGAGGAGTCTTCAAGGATGAGGAAGGAAAAGTGATTGCAATCTATTCAGGTCCAATTGGTATAGGTGATTCACTGAGGGTGCAAATTATGACTGTTTTGGAAGGCATTCAAAAGGATAAATAGCTGAACATAAAGAATCTTTTGGTGGAGGGTGATTTGAAGCTTGTGATGAAGTGGTTTGGGAGGAAGAGGAGATTGGGTGGTGGTGTTATATCTATGAGAAGAGGAAAATCAAGACTGTAACAGGGGGTGGAAATGAACTTCAAATGGTGAGAAGAGATGGCAATGCTTTTGCTGACACACTTGCCAAACAATGGGTAGGAAGGAACAGCTTATTTTGAGCTATGTTTTTTTGATAACTTATTTTGAGGTTGTAACTAAAATTTCTGTTGGGGAGGGCTAAGAGTGTTTACCTCTCCCTTTTTTCCATCCTTTGTAGTTTGTACTTGTTTCTAATTAATGAAATCGATTCTGTTCATGATCCAAAAAAATAATAGACGAAACATATCATCCAATTCATAATCATGCAAATTTCTTCTAAATCTCAAAGTAAATGCCCATCCTCTTCAATCTCATGGAGCTCTTCAAGAGATGTCTCTTTGTCCTCATTCCTCAATAATTTCGATAAAAACCAGGAGATTTCCTTGTGTGGCCTGTTGTTGGCTTGTTGCACAATTAATCCCTCAGAAAGATAACATTGGAACCTTCACCTATTTTCTGATTCCCTTGATGAAATGTGAATAGTGCTTCTAAATGCCTTTCCAAAGAGAACAACCATAAGAGCCAGCAGCAATGCCTGGTATTAAGCTGCAATGATCTACCTCCATACTCCATAGGTTATTTGATTTTTTGCTGACAAACTAGAACTATTTTCCTAAAAGAGCAGAACATTCTAAGATGACAACTGAAATCGCCTGCTCATTTGGGAGGATATACCTCCCAAGAAACTAAAGGAAACTTCTAGTCATCCCTCCACAACTTCCACATAAAAATTCCTTCGGGTAAAACATGGTTAGAAACAATAACCATAGATACTCACTCCAAATCCATACCCTATGATGTCAGCCTCTCAATCCAACTTTCATACATAACATATAAGATAGATTCATAACAATAAGCATGTCCCATCAGTTCATCTAAATGCTTGCTTAAGTTTTCTACAAGTGTCAAACATAACCATGGGTCAATGTGTCCAATCTTCCTAGTGCTGTTCAGAACTAAGTTTTCCAAAAACAACATTTACCCTTTATTCATTCTTGAGTCCTTCATGAGTTGCAGTTATATTTCATGCTACAAACAACAAATCCTTCTTTCATTCTATCTTTTTTTTTCCTTCGTTGGATGTTTTATCACATGGTTCTTCATAGTTGGGGTTAAGGCTGAGTTGAATCAAGTAAGGTGGGAAGTAATCACATTATTTAAGGGGAAATAAGAACTTAGTCAAGCTAAATTGCATCTGCATTGTCAACTAGAATGCAAGGGCAATACATGCATAAATCAGAAAAGAGATAACTTAAAATAAAATGCAAACAAAGATACACATGCATTCCACAGGGCTCACCTGACCAAATGATTTTAGAAGTGAACCACAGTCATTCAATGTGCAGTCCATTAAGTAAATCAGTGGAAGCTCATCCACATGTTTCACGTTATCTGCCACAGATCTAACCATTAATAAAAAAACAGACATACTTATAGGGAAACTAGCCTCCCTATTAAATTTGTTTCTCATTCCATTGCATCTTATATTTAAAGCAAAACACTTAAGCAGAATAACAACATTATAATACACATTAAGAAAGGAATAAAACTAATCTTCTTAGTTACTCAACTCTTTTGATAGGCTTCTAAGTTACTCAAATTAGAATATCCTCATGCTTCAACAATAGAAAAGAAATGGGTAATTGACATCAACATACACCCATGTTTAGCAGGTGTTATTTTAAACAATAATAACAATAATATAATAAATAGCAATAGCAACATAACAAATATACACATACATATATACATACATATATAGATATATTATATACATATACATTTGTATGTATATATGCATTCAAAACAATGAGATAGTAACAAACTCTCCACAAGAACCTAAATGTAGTTACAAGGAAACATGACAGAACAAAAAAGAAAGAGTGTCAAATGTACCACCAGTGAATTCATCAAAATGGAAGGTGTTATTAAAACTAGTTATTTTGTTGAAATCATAAAAGATTTTTTGAAAATCTTTTCCTTAAAGAACAAATAGTGACTCAATGATTGGATGAATAGCTTACTATTCTCCATGTGATTCACTTACTAAGTCACTATAATTCAAAAAACGAAAAAGAAAAAAAATGCACAAAGATAAAAGCATGCACTCAATCGAATTAAAGCATATTGAATCAAGAAAGATACAAGTCAAAATGGCAAGTCAGTGACATATGAATAGAAGAGAAGATAGCTAAAAGACTAAAAGGGAGGCAAAGAGATACCTATTTAAGCCTCTTATTCTTCCTTTTTTGACATTTTGCTATGAAATTTTTGAGTCTTTAATATGGAATCATACTTCTAAAATGGCAAGTCAGTGACATGAATAGAAGAGAAGATAGCTAAAAGACTAAAAGGGAGGCAAAGAGAGATGCCTATTTAAGCCTCTTATGCTTCCTTTTTTGACATTTTTCTATGAAATATTTTAGTCTTTAATGTGGAATCATACTTCTAACAATTCATTTAGTTCCATAACAAATTCCATGTTTATTAGAATTTTTCTATAGTTTGATTAAATTTCCAAATATCTTAGTGAAATAAGCAAAATATCTCCGAAATTTACCAATCTATTCATGCAAAACACACATCAATATTGGAATTACAAAACATGTTGGTAACTTTTAGACTTTATATTTATAGTAATTCCAATAAGTATTATTTACAGTAAAATCACAATTTACTATTTTTAGTAATTTATGGACTCTCTACATTTAGCTTTAATATGATTAGTAACTGGTATTTAGAGTTACTTTAGAAGTTAATAGTACTTGTTTTAATATCCCTAAGGGTAATCTATTCTGTTGCCTTAAAATAGTTTGAAATTGTTTTGGGTCAGTTTCCTAGTTGACATTGGAGTTGTTAGAAGGACCCACTAAATATTGTACTTCCTCAAAAGGACTAACAAGCAATCTAAATATATGGCCTTGAACTTGATATGATGAAAGATTATGATAAAAAAGTTGAACGGAATTTCCTAGATAAAATTATGGAAAAGATAATCTTTGGTATCCGTAATCGCCATGTGTATCAACTGTCTCACATCAATTCCCATGTGAGATTCATTTGACATCCCCATTGGTTAAGGCAGTAATAGAACTAAAAGCATATGAAATGTAGTCAATAAAGTAACTTAAGAGATATGTGGAGAAATTAGCATTTTCGAAATGAATAGAAAAATAACAAAGTTAATAGTAACATCGATACAGATAAAGAAGAAAAGGAGCACTATATTTTTCAAGGCAGTAGAAGTGCATACCATTGATAAACACACAATGTCTTCTCATGGATCCACTCTTCAACATGTTCATGTAGCCCTTGAGGGATCGGTATACTTCACGAACAACCAGTTCCATTCTCTGGCAAAACCCACACCAACTATTGCTGAAAAGTACTAAAACATCCTTCTCCCAAGCATGATGAACATTTTCAGTGTCAGACAGGTTAGAACCTAAAACCATCTCAGGAAACGTATCAGCAGTAACTCGAGGGATTGCGTCCACCTCATGGAACACCAGATTTACAAAAGGTGGATGTGTGGCCTCTCTTTCAACTTTGTCCAAAGATTCTGAATGTTGATATGGAGGAACACTTCCATTAAGAAACCCATAAAGAAAATCAACTAGAGAATAATAGCTAAAAGCTGTCTCATCAGGAATAACATAATGTTGCTGTGAAATGGGATCCATTACTACCATTGAAGGAATCTTTGATCCTGCAGTCAGGCTTCTAAGCAACTGGTAACCACCATCAGAAAAGAAAAAGCATACCTTCAAATCTTGATGATGAACTACATTCTTCCCCAACTTCTCTATCCCCATGGAACTTTTATCCTCAGTCTGGCTATCATTTGCAATGCTCTGTTCATCATCTCTGATAATTTGGTCATATTTTGAAGGAATAGCTTCTTCAGTGCCGAACATCTCTTCATTGTATGGATGAGAAGGTTTGACATCAGCAATTACATCTTGTTGCTTGTTCTCTACAGCAGTTGTAACTGCAGCATTCAGTAATTCAGTATCCATGTTCACACTACTTCTAATAATCTCCCGCCTAGGTTGTTCTGATGCAATTTGGTAAGATTGACTTGTTTCAGTCTGTGATGGCAACAGACCTGCAACTTTGACCTCAATATCATCAGACAGAAGTTGGAAACCTACCTCCTTGGCAAGAGAACTTAACTTCGCTTCCTTCTTCTGAAGCAGATATGCAAGGACATCATTAATAGACTTAATCTGCTCGTCTGCAACTATATTATTTAAAGCTACACTGTGACCCTCCTTGATAACCATAGCAGCCATATTGTCCTTGAGCTTGACAATTTTAGTAGCCGGAGCATATTGAGAAGCTTGGGCTGAGGATTTCAAAGGATTAACATTGTTTTCTCCGTCCATACAATTCGTAAATTGATTGCGCAACATGAGTTCTCTAAGGGCATTAATAGCCTCCACACTTTCTCTTCTAGTGTTTACTGATTCTGATGATCTATCCACAAAAAGAATCACCGATAGCCTATTTGCGGGTAGAGCAGGCTCAAGATTGTGGCCTTCACCTTCAAGCTAAAAAATAAGAAAGGTGATGTCTTTGGATCCAGGTGGCAGGAGATATATTTTGTTACAAAGAAACATAATTCATGAAAATGACAAGCTTTAACAATGAAATTATAAAATAGCTTCATTATGGTACAAGATGTCAACCATGCAACGCGCAGAAAGTTTCAACATGATAACATATCATGACAGTTATTTAACAATAATGAGATATAAACAGATTGGCAGTAACTCACATGAATACATGGGAACAAAAAGTCGGTCAATAATTAGGTAGGCAAATCAAAAAGAGCAAAAACTTGTATAGTTCAGAGATAAACAGGTAGCAGAAGGGAAAATGGAATTTAGATGACAAGACTAATGATATGTGGCTGGAAATGGTCAACGGTATAAATAAAAGTAGCAAAAGACGTTTTAGGAGAATCTAGAGGAAAACCAGCATTGTGTAATGCCCCTACTCTTTTATTGTAGATTGAAATTAATGAGGGCATCACATTGTTCCTACATGTGCCTAGGAATTTTCAGAAATTTTTATGTATTTTTCTAGGGGTATATTTTTCATTTTAAAATTATTGGATTGGTTGGACATTAGTCCAATACTGGTCTTAGGTTTACCACATTTCTTGACATATTTGAGTAGTTGGCTTTCAGAATTAGAGTAATATTGTTTTCGATGGAAATTACACATAAAGGGGGAACCCTGCATTTTATATCTTTTGTTCTGGCTAACCAAAGTGTATACATATATAGAGGAATTCTAGTAAGCAAATATACAACACTTTGGTTCTTCACCCTAAATATGGTTGGACCCATAAAAAGACAAAGTTGGAGATGACTTTTCAAGGGTCACGCATTGTATGTAAGTCGAAGAAAACAAAGAGTTGCATCAACTTATTTACTAGCATTTCTCACATGAAAGAAAAAATTGCACTACACAGTTTTTTAATGTTGAAGGAAATTTATTAGAAAACAAAAGTTGAAAATAAAGAGGAATACACAATGAACAAAGGTAGTGAAAAATAAAATATAATAATCCTATGCCACCCAGAGAAAATACCAAGAGGCCCACAAGCCTCAAACATACAGGAAATACCTAGATACATCTTCAACCATGACAACCAAAACAAATTACACAAGATTGCCAAAGGGTACCCTACAAACTAGACCTACCACCCACCTAACAAAACAAACAACCTGAAAAGGAAAAAATAGAACCACCCAAGAAAGAGATCTCTACCAAAAGCACCAAAAAGATGTTGACCCTTCAAAGGGAACCCACCCCCACACCTTAACATAAAACAAAAAATAAAGCTTGAATATTTTGCTCCCCTCCCCAGTCCCCCTAACTCCTCCTACCTCTCCACCTGGTTGGTCAGACTCTTAAAACAACTTTCACTGAACTGACCATCATTCTACGAACTCCACCATCAACCTCCCTACTGTATTGCCACTCATTTAAAAGTTGCCCCCCCGGATCTTGTTTTCTTTTTCTTTTTTATATTTTTTTTTTTGATTAGCAAGCTGTCCCCCCATCTTCAGGGTCCCTTAGTTCAAGCATGCAAAAAAAAAAAAAAATCCATAAAACTTATCATTATCAAGCAAAAAGACTTCTTTTTGAAGAATAATGAAGAAAAGTTTTATTAAAAATCAAAAGAAAGAAGAAAACTGAAGAGAGTAGACCTTGAGAGTTCGGCAATGAGGGTTTGAGAATGAGAGTTTCGAACCTAACTCTCTCTTAGCACCCTAACACTATTTTATTAAGATAGATTTGAATAATTACAARGAGGCCCTTARTTGGGCAARAAWTTACAAAGAACATAATATAGACAGGATGGGCCCAGAATAAGGCCCACTACAGAAAAACATAAATAACAAGAAAGAATAAACAGCCTATGGGCCATTCGACCCATCTTCAGATGTGATGTCACTCATGCCAAACTTGCTGGTATCATGCTGAAGTTTTGCCTTGGGAATGCCTTTGGTGAGAAAATCTGCCAACCGTCCTTCAAATGTGATGAAAGGAAGACATACTTCACCCGAAGAGACCCTTTCCCTAATGAAGTGTCGATCAACTTCAATATGCTTAGTTCTATCATGTTGCACTGGGTTGTGAGCAATGTTGATGGCAGCCTGATTATCACAGTACAACATCATTGGCTTGTCATATTCAACCTCAAGTTCTTCCATCAATGATTTTAGCCATAATAACTCAAAAACTCCATGTGTCATGGCCCTGTGTTTTGCTTCAGCGGAAGACCGAGCAACAACCGATTGTTTCTTGCTTYTCCAAGAAACAACATTACCAGCCACCAAACTGCAATACCCAGAAGTAGATCTTCTGTCATCAATGTTTCCAGCCCAGTCAGCATCGGTGTAGGCTTCAAGTTTCATATGACCATGCTTGGCAAACAAAATTCCCTTTCTTGGGGAGCCCTTCAAATAACATAGGATTTGCTCCACTACTGCCATATGAGTGTCTCGGGGAGCATGCATGAATT